TTTTTGTAAAAGTTCTTCAATTGATTTGATATAATAGTACTTTAAACTATATCTATACTAGTACAATGGTACGTTATAGTTGCATTTTACGAATTTTTATATTGCCACCGAAGACCAGACGAGCATCTGAGGCTCCCATCTGAGATCCCAAGTGGTTACTATCAATGTTCATTGAAGTCGATAGTGTAGATAGTGCAGTCAAGCTAAATAAATATTGAGGACTCTTTTTTATTTTCGTTTAAAAATTTAAATGGCTTGAAAAACACCGAGGATGAGAGTTTATTCTATAGCTCGATGATAGCATTTAGTCGTTCTCCATGTAGACTGAGTAGAGATTAATATATGAACAGAGGTTAAACTATGCTAAACCGAGCGCTATGACATTAAAACGGCCGTCTGGTGTAGTGGTAAGTGACATGGTCAATACACAAGGGGGTCGCGGGTTCGAATCCCGCCAAGGGAAGATATTTGTATGATAAATATAAATGTCTTTCCAGGGTTATGGGTGTATATTAAATATATGTATGTGTATAATAAAAATATTATATTTATTTCCGTTATCTGGTACTTGTAACACAAGTTCTTTACGAACTTATCACGGGACCAGTTAACGTGGCGTGATAGTTAAAAAATAAATAAAAAAGAAAATAGAGGTGAATTTTTCCCCCAATGACAAGATATTATAAATGATTGAAAGTATTAGAAATGAGAAAATTATCTTAAATTATTCTTCAGAAAGCTAATGGCACACGGCTTATGAATACATAGAGAATTATAGGCGCTCTATAGAATTAGAGCACCCAGTAGGGGGACTACACGGTTCGTGAGGAGAGTATTATTGAAAACTTAAATTATCCTTCTGTATAGGATTCATGTACAAGAGCAGTACTCGATGCATAGCCATACTTTTGTTTTTTCAGCAGCATCTTTGAACACCTAAAATAGCGCTTGGCTCATCTAAGGACCTCAAAAATCTCGATATGATAAATGGAGCTCCGCAAAGCTTTATGTTCCATTGATTGAATCGAACTGATTTAAATTGAGATCCATTTTAGTTACATAAATATAAATCATCTATCGTGGAACAACATTCCAGAAGTTACTCTGATAGGCGTTTTTGATGACTAGATTGGCAGACTGGCAGGCTCATACCCCATTTAGTGGTCAGAGGAGCCAATAAACATGAAATCAAAGTCTTAAATGTATTTTTATTTCACTACGGCACCTTTAAAACCGGTACTCATGACTGCTTTGCGATAGAATTAGAGAGGATAGTGGTACTAACTCATGCGGGTTCCCGTTTGCTGAAATCATAGTATTGGAGCGGCGGCCGTCTATAGCTTTTAATTTACAAAGATTCACACGAGAATTTACTGGACGGTTAGAGGAATTTAAGTCTTAGAATAACGCTGAAAATATTCAACAAGAGAAGTTGTCACAATAAAAAATGCTAAACAGATTTTTTATTTACAAATTTCATTTATAAGCTACGTATTAAAATGTAGTTACAAGATATCCCGACTAGTTCTGTTTCCATTGGAACCGGGCCGTAGTCGACGCGTAATCGTGTGAAGGTATTATAACACCACGCTATTGAGTGCGGTTATTGCAAGGTTCTTATAAGAACTTATTCGTTGTAGCAACAAAAGTTTGTATGCTTGCTTAATTTCTCAGTCGCACGCACGATTCTGGCTTAATTGGCAGGCAATCACAACATCAACTTTGCCATATCATTATCATCAGTCAGATTGAAACGCCGCCCACTCCGACGTGGTCCACGTCATACCACAAACAAATTTAAGACTAAAACAATCTGATATGTTGAGTGACACGACTAATTGTCTGGCCCTGTGTAAATTTTAACACTCATTTTCAAAATTATACAGGATGTCCCGTAAACTGACGATAGTTCTTTAAAAGAATGTCCGGCTAAGTAACTTGAAATTTTAATTTAATAATTATTGAAAAAATATGATAAAGTTTAAAAATATATATTTGACAGTGAATTATTTTGAAATTTAAAATAAAATGTATTGATATTTTATCATAAAATAATTTCAATATTTTTTCACATAAATAAACAATCATAACTTTTTAAATTTAGCATAGACCATAAATAAACACAGATTTCTTTTCGAAATTATTAATTGGTAAATTCCAATATTTTAAATAAAGTTTTTTCAATTTGAAATTAATCTGAGTAAAATAAATAAAGATGATAGTGGTTATTAGCAGAGTGGACACTAGCTACAAAGTAAATTTGTAATAAAATATACATCGATACTTAAAGAACTCAAAATTACCTTAATTAGGTATACATATCATAAAAGTTAGTCCGAGCATAGTGAGTCCTTCAGTTATTTTCATAAAAGGTATTCTTATCACGGTTTGATTACTTAAACTCGACTGTGTTAGTGGCATACCACGCAACGGAACGATCGTCTACCATTCTAATGAACCTCAATTTGTAAAATTTCTTCAACAGATCTCTGAGCCCTTGCTATTTCAACTTTTTTCACAACCTTGACCTCTGAGGCTCTTATACTATACCGATAATGACAAAGCCAAACGCAACATTGAAAAGTCGCTAAATTGTTGCCAAGCACAGCTCTCTAACCATTTTCAATAGCCTCAGTACAGAAAAATATTTACAATGCTTTTTAAGTATCGATATACATCATCCCGATAGCAGTAACATACAAATATTTGCCTTTTTATTTTTTATTGCATATTAATGGCTGGACGAGCTCACAGCTCATCTGGTGTTAAGTGGTTACCGGAGCCCATAGACATTTTTTTATTGCTCTTGTAGGCAGACGAGCACATGGCCCACCTGATGGTGAGTGATTACCGTCGCCCATGGACTTCAGCAATGCCAGGGGCAGAGCCAGGCCGTTGCCTACCGTTTAATGGTCTTCCCAAGCCTCGTTTAAAGAAGCACATGTCGTAGCGCTCGGGAAACACCGTGGAGGGGAGCTCATTCCATAACCGGATGGTACGTAGCAAAAAAATCTCTGGAAACGCACTGTGGATGACCGCAGTGGCTCCAGGTAGTATGGATGAGCTCTACTCCGGTGGTGGGCGGTGCAATGGTAAAAACGAGATGAAATGTACAACCTAACGTATAGTTACAACGGCTGCCCCACCCTTCAAACCGAAACGCATTACTGCTTCACGGCAGAAATTAGGCAGGGTGGTGGTACCTACCCGTGCCGACTCACAAGAGATCCTACCACCAGTAATATGAACTTACTAGACGGAAAGGAAATTTATTTTAATACAGATTAATTTCTGTATTCTTAATAACTTTTAACTTAAAAAACACAACGAATTGAATATATTGTGCTTATACCTTACAGTAGCTGCGTTCTCTGATAGCCGAATAAGAGGTATTCTATTAAAACTTTAAATAATATCCTCATCGGGAATTTCCGTTTCTTAATATATTGTGTCGAGACTTAGCGTCATCGAAAGTGTCGTGACTATGATAAAATTCTATTACAACTTTAGCAACATTCAGTTACCGATAAAAATTACACGAAGAGCGAATCAGATGTTGTCCTCGTTTTAGAGATTTACAACTTTATTGCACACCAAAACACAATTTACATTCAAAAACAGTCAAAAAGCAGATACGTTTGTACAATAGGCGGTCTCATTGCTAAAAGCGATCTCTTCCAGACAACCGTTTAATTGACAGATATTCTAGAAAATATAAAAATATAGCAGGTATGTTGCGGTGTACTATTGACAATACATTACTGTTAATGTTTACTTACTGTTCTTAAAATTGTATGAAATTACGACACCTGTCAATTATACTATTATACTATACCCAAACATTATCACTGTAGTAGTATTTTTGTATTGAATAGTAATAATCTGTTATGCAGCGTCTTGATTTACTACCACGGTTAACCAGAAATGTTTATTCTTAATAATATTAGTGGATTACATTATTAATTGACGATTTACGTTGATTTTTATTCAACACGCGAGGTCAAGGTTCTGCCGCCGTAAATATGCACATTAATTAATAATGTTAATACTATATAAGTAACAAATAAACGTAATCGAAAATAAATAAAAATTATACCTTAATTACGAGTGCTCTTCTATTTAATCAACGATAAAAGTTCATCGTCCTTTAAAGAAGAGTCGTTTATTAAAAAAAACCGCTTAATTTACCTCCGTCGAGTGTCAGAAGCGATGAGTCGTACCATCATTAGATTTGTTTTGTTATCATCGTGTTTTTAATGTCAACACACACATACAAGTATTTCGACATCAGAATACCAGTTTATTTATGAGGCATGTTGTTTTTAACTACCAATAATCCGATCCGCCGATATAGTCATACGCATCGTCCTTGTCAGGAATGCGAGGTCATCACGCGTTCGTTTGAAGACAGCATTTTGGTGCAGCCCTCTTGTGCAACACAATTATCGACGTTTTTAAACGTCTTTTGTATTCAAAGCATGACGACGTGATGTCAATCATTCGCTTCGAGTTAAATTATCCTGGAGTTACTGCAGTTATACCAAGATCGATGATAGTCTTCAACGAACATGAATTGACTACCGATAACGGTCCACTCAAATGTGACAGCTTATCAAAGCCCTCAATGATTTTTAGTTAAGTGCTTAACGTGACGTAATGTTAATTAAGTTCAATTAACTATTATTTATTTGTGAAATTGGCGAATTATAAATGTTATGACCTTTTCGCTTTCTACTCCGCGATAACAGACCTTGCTCGTTTTACATCACATCCGTGTACATACCAATCCAGTTTGACGACAGATACAAATCACGATATGCCTACTGCATTTAATTAAACCTTGCTACAATTACATCAATAAATTCATCTCGGATCATTTGCTCGTCAAATTATAATGTTTATTCCAAGAAGTATTCCTATGAATGGCTATTAACGTAGCAATAAACAAGCCTACGAATAAAGCTTCGCAATTGCTTTGATTAACGAAATGAGCTTACTAAACTTTGGGCTTACAGATTCGAGTGCCGCTGCGACAGATTCTGCGGCCACGCGATCTGACAGTGGTCATCAATAAGAAACACCTCAAGGTCGGCATCAAAGGTCAACCTCTTATAATCGACGGCGAGCTAGATGCCGACGTCAAGATTGAGGAGTCCACGTGGGTGTTGCAGGATGGACGCAATCTACTTATCAACTTAGAAAAGGTAAAGCTTGACTAATGATTAGTGCCAAGTGTTTGTAAATATTATTTAATAGGTTTATATAAGTATGATGTTCTGTTGAACAGTGATACGTTTGAGTAAAATTAAATTTGTTACGTTATTGACTAGAAAAAACTTAGTTCCTGGTTGTAATTACTAATTCTATATTAAAAATAAAATAAACAGTAAGTACATTAATTAATAATAAAATCTAATTGGTTACCCACGATTAAAAACACCTTCACGGCTTAATTTGGCGCTTATTTCGCGTATAATATTATAATTTCCGAGATCTCGAATAGTTCTTTCTAGTTTTCGCGATTACGGGTGATCAGTTAGTTATCCGTTACTAAGCCATTGAATAAATTGTGTGTTACCAATCTTTCTGAACCTACAGAATTTCATATTCTCAATCACTCGCCGAAGGAGTCCTAACAAAACGAAGTATAGTTACTTAATAGGATGTTAATAACCCTTGATCGAAGTTTCTGTATTCCGGGAATACACGTGATACTAGGCGCGGTCCGGGCAGATAGCGTTAGCATAGTCAGTGTAATTAGTTTACACGCCACGATAATAATCGCCATGGCTTATAATAGGGAGTGCTCTGAGGAATTGTTTGGGATGATACCGTCATATCGTTTTTACCATCGCACCGCCCGCCACCGGAGTAGAGTTCGTCCATACTACCTAGAGCCACTGCGTTCATCCACAGTGCGTTTCCAGAGATCTTTTTTGCCACATACCATCCGGCTTTGGAATGAGCTCCCCTCCGCGGTGTTTCCCGAGCGCTATGACATATCCTTCTTCAAACGAGGCTTGTGGAGAGTACTTAACGGTAGGCAGCGGCTTAGCTCTGCCCCTGGCATTGCTGAAGTCCATGGGCGACGGTAACCACTCACTATCAGGTGGGCCGTATACTCGTCTGCGTACAAGGGCAATAACAAAAAAGATGAAATGCCTGGTATAATCGTGTCCTGTGATATAACTAGGCCAAGGTTCAAATCCTGCAGGCATATGTCTTTCTGTATAATCTTTCTTAATAGTAAAATAGTGTAATAGTGTAATAGTTCAAGTCGTTCGTAAACTGTGACGCTAAGTACGAAGACCGTACGTAGGAACATTCGAGAATTAAAAAAAATATGTTTTAGCTTGGAGCAGAATAGCTACTTCGGATCTTTAGTTCTTAGACGTTCACTTCCACTTATAGTACAGGTAATTAAGTGGTCAGTGATCAATGGTAAATCTACGGATTATTTGATGTACACAAAGAGATTCATAAAATGTCATACGAACCTTGTAACACTTCTAAAGTTGTTTTGTGCAATTATTTTAAACGTATATCTTCATTATCGCTCGAAATTAAGTGTGCATTCGTACGCGGCAATTTGGGCGTAATGATAAGTCTGTTGTTATTGCAGGTGAACAAAATGAACTGGTGGGGTCGGCTTGTTACAACGGACCCAGAAATATCTACAAGGAAAATTAATCCAGGTAATAATTACTTGCCTGTCAAGAATTGTAGCTTAATTAAACATTAAATTTCTGTACATATAATTCAAAAATCTAGGTAAAGTAACAGATTGTAACTTTATATAGTGTATTTTCGGTGGTGAACAATCGTCTAAAATATTCGAGCTAGTTGATATTCAAGTTTGTAAAACCACCTAAAGGGGACGGCCCATTTCAGGCCCAAAGCGGACAATAGATTAGAGAAAAAATACTTAGTGCATTAATTTTGTCATAAATAAATATGCATTTACTTTCTTCCAAATAAGCGCCACTACAGTTTACAATAAGTAGTTTAAAAAAAGTAACTCTATTGAAAAAAACAAGAATTTTATTTTTGCGGGAAAAATATTGCCANTCATCGCTCTTGAATTTTCTCGAGTCAATTCCATTTTCTCAACGACTAAACAAGTTTGACAAAACCTCGTGACAAGACCAAGAATCTTTTTTTAAATAAATAAATGGTATTCGATTTTTAAAACCAAGGAGTTTTCAATTAAAAAGATTTTAATATGACAGGAACAGTGGAAATATTCCATTCCCGATACTTTTAGTGCAGCCTAGTATGATATGGAATCTATATATTATTCGAATTTCATAATACTTAAGAGGATAAATTGCATAAGCAATAATTCTGCTATTTCAACATATTTATACATACATTCATTGCTGTGATAGCATTTTAAATTATAAGTATTAAGTACATGAATAAATAGATAATATAAAACCAAATTAAAAATTATGATGTCAAAACATATCTTAATGTTTTAACTCGCCGTTATTCAATAATTTATTCAAGCTGTATGCAAATACTCGAGTATTAGAATCCTGCAATTTGCGCAATGGTCATTCAACTACTATAAACAAGAAACTAGATGCAATTGAATGTAATTTATAGTTTTGAAGACCATTAGTAAATTATATATGGATTTTGTAGTTTTTAATTCTTGAATTGCATTTACTGTTTGACTATCTTTTAAATACTTAATTTTATAACATTTTTATAAATTATTCATTACTGGTTTTACTGGTAATTATGCTTACTGGTTGTACTCCCCCCAACTCCCCCAAATTCCAAAAATCAATAAAATTCGATCACTAAAAAGTAAAAAAATAAAATGTTAATTAACAAACTTGTCAATGTTAAATCTAAATAAAAATAGATCAGAAACACGTTTACTGATTGTGTTTATATAAAAGACCGTCATATGAATACTTTTGTATTCGATGGATACATCGCGCCTGTGCGTTTTGAACGTTTGAAGGATTCGTTTATTTCACAGTTTGTAAGTAAGGAGCGATTAACTAGTGGAGATTTACCTTATTTCACAGTTGTGAATGTCTTAATGTAAGGTTTTTTTTGCTCCGTAATGTTACCAGTACAAAAAAAGCTCATGTCTTTCGTCTTCATTCATTTCCAGAACCATCGAAGCTGTCGGATCTTGATGGTGAAACACGTGGTCTAGTTGAAAAGATGATGTACGATCAGAGACAGAAAGAAATGGGACTACCTACAAGTGATGAACAAAAGAAACAAGAAGTACTCAAGAAGTATGTATTATTAAGTTTGCACTATCAAAAATATCAATCTACGTACATACCTAATGAATAAAATCATATCACACACTATTAAATTATTTTATGTTACATAAAATTAATCTGTATTATTATACAGTTATTCTTAGCAGTGTGACTAGTTGACAACTTTTTTATACGTCTGTCTGAGGTATTAGCGCGACTGCTACTAAGCGGCTACCAGTGTCCATAGACATCAGCGTTAATGGCACCACCCACCTGGCACCCTAGATCAATGTTACACTACTTGAACAGATGTTTTAGTGCAGCTAGTAATTTTATCAAGTGCTTAATTATTTGCATTTGCAATTTGATTTGATTTAAAAATTCAGAGAATTATAATATTATGTATTCTTTTCCACAGATTCATGGAACAACATCCAGAGATGGACTTCTCCAAATGCAAATTCAACTAAAGTCTTAATAAATATAATTAATTTGAAGTATCCTTAACCACCCGTTACATTATATATCCATTGCTGTAGCTGTTTCAACATATTCTTTGCGAGTGGAAATAGTGATGTACTTTACGTAAAAAGCTATAATTACGAAAAATAACACTTGAAATACAAAACCAGCTATAAATGTATTACTGCTGTAATATTAAACATTTGTGTTTAAATAAATTTTACGTTTAAGCAACTCCTCTTTTTTTCTTCTCATGTATAGTACTCGCCAAACTTTATGGCTGCTCCGAACCTAGCCGCATTGCGCTGCGCAGAACACAAAGTCAGGTATCAGCGGCACGTACGCGGGGCGTGAAGGCAGGGCACGCCCGCGCGCGCTTTCTTCCACCCGGAAGCGTCCTCGCCTCCCGCGCGTTAGTGTGGGTGCTACGTTCGTACACCAATCACGTGCTCTCTGAGCTCTGACCTGTTATCGTCGCGTTCAGAATAGTTTCATATTGTTATTTTGTTATTTGGTTCTCGTTGCTATCGTTATTAATTACAAAAAAATATTCTTGGATATGAAATGTCCACCCGACTGTACCATGCGCAAGTTCGTATCGACGGCTACATTCAGAGCGGCCATAAAGATTAGCGAGTACTATACATACGTGATCTTTAATTTTTCTGTATGGCAATGGGCTTGCGATGTCATTGTTACCAGTGTCGTGTTTATAAAAGCTGCAATTATTATACAAATACTTTGAATGAAAAATGGACTTCATTTATTTGAATTTGTAATCTATTGGGATGAAATTGCAAAGAAACAAGGTTCAGCAGGATATTCCGTATCACGACATCCGACGTTTTTTTAATGCTCTAGCATAAAAAAAAACTGAACGTAGAGTCGTCGACTATGGTTCTGGTCCAGCGGGCTATTCCGGGACACCAGCAACACCGTCTGGGCGGCCTGACGGGCTGACGTTTCGGAGACTTCGATTCGCCTCGAAGGCTCCGTCGGCCGGACGTCCTTGGGGCGACCTGCACTGTCTGGTTGCAGTGTTGACCGCGGTAACCCCCCTACCTCATCCGGGTTCTGACTTCGGAGGGGATCGGACGCTTGGGCGAAGAGTGCAGGGGAGTCGTTTAGTGGGTAGGGCCCTAAAATGATTTGCGCCCGCGGTCTGCTCTCAACACCTTGCAGATCGTCAAGTCCCACATACCCCGCGCGCCACCTAGGCACGGGGACCTCGTAGGAGGTTCGGCCCCGGCCCGGAAAAACAAAAAAAAAGAGTCGTCCACTATCGCCTCGACGATTCCGTAGGCCGAGCGTCTTAGGATCAGCTGCTAGTCTTGTGTTGTAGTGTTGACCCGATTGTCGCAGCTTAGGATTGGGCGTCGTCTGAAAGTGCAGGGGAATCGCTTGGTGGGTAGGCCTTTAACATCTTTTTTTTTATAGCGTAGGTGGGTGGACGAGCTCACGGCCCGCTTGGTATTAAGTGGTAACCGGAGCCCATAGACATCTACAACGTAAATGTCGCCACCACCTCGAGACATGGGTTGTAAGGTCACATTTTGAACAGTACAACGGCTGCCCCACCCTTCAAACCGAAACGCAATACGGCAGAATAGGCAGGGTGATGGTACTCACCCGCGCGGACAAGAGGTCCTACCACCAGTAATTACGCAAATTATAATTTTGCGGGTTTGATTTTTATTATACGATGTTATTCCTTCAACGTGGAAGTCAATCGTGAACATTTGTTGAGTACGTATTTCATTAGAAAAATTGGTAGCCACCTGGGATTCGAACACCGATGCACCTCTTGTGAATCCGCACGGGTAGGTACCACCACCCCGTCTAGTTCTGCCGTGAAGCAGTAATGCGTTTTGGTTTGTAGGGTGGGGCAGCCGTTGTAACCATATTGAGACTTTAGAACTTATATCTCAAGGTGGGTGGCGCATTTACGTTGTAGATGTCTATGGGCTCCACTAACCACTTAACACCTAGAACACACATAGAATGCACCGAACGTCTTAGTTAGGCCACGACGACTTCCTGCGGTGAAAGAGTGTATACAAAACGAACATAGATCCACTGATACATTAGTCAATGCCACTAACTACTTGACTAATGAATGATAATAGCGGCCATACTGAGTATAAAGAAATCGTTTACAAAAACAGAATTTATATAAAATACACTTCTTTACTTTATTTGGTAAGCAACAATTTGAAGTAAAGGCACTAGGCGGTTTTCCCCTGTGTTCCCTTATGATTATAAGCCGTTGATTTTAATTTTGTACCATATGTAAAGTACTAAAAAGTATGTTTTAAACATTAAGAAAATGTTATTTTCGGATCCCACGGATCCACTCTCGGTGGTTTAGGCCCCTTAAGCATCGATCACCGTACTCGTCGAATACGACGAGTGAACTAACCCCTATGTGTCTATAAACAATCCATTGAGTTTCTCGCCCGATCTTATAAATGGGTTGCAATTCCGATCCGGTGGTATCCGGTGGATTTACTTGGAAATCTTTTTCGAAAAGATAACTTATTCTAACAGAATCCTTATCCACAGTTTTCGACGTTCCTTTTTCCTTTTCATAGCAGTCAAATTGACATTCACTTGCGCTGACGGCTGACGGCTGACAGATAGGTAGTATAGCATCAGCAACATTTGATAGTTTGATAGTAAAACAGTAAACATAATCTCGTATCTATGCTTCTAAAATACATTCATCAAGAATTTGAGAACCTTTCTATCTATTTAGTTAGTTAAATACGCTTAACGCTAGCCAATTTATAAAACTAAGGCTATTTTCATTTTGATATTTGTAAAATAATATAAATTAAACAATGCCCAGAACAGTGTATTCACCCGAGCACTGCCTTCAATATTTGGAACAATATGCCTCCAAAGAAATATTTGCTATAGGGCTAATCCTCGGTCAGGTATGTAATAAATTTAGTTTAAATTAGTTGCGAAATAGGTTTACTTGGAGTCGTTTTTAATCAACATATTTTTTTAAAAGGAATTAGTATATAAATCTTTTTCAACAGGCTGTGTTCTATTGCAAATTGAAAAATTGAAAATCTCATATTTTTGCAGATGACCGATGCTAGAGAGAATGTAATCCATCTGGCTCGCACACCAGAAGAAAAAGGATCAGAGATTGGTATAGAATCAAATTATGGCCTAGATAAACCAGAGATAGCAAAGAATTTAAGTAGTGTATCTGAAGCATGGATTGCTGACCATGCGCGACATGTAACTAGAATGCTCCCTGGTGGAATGTTTGTTCAAGGTATTGTCGAAATCCGTAATTATGATCACAACCACCAATTTCAAATGTCTCCATCATATTTAACATACATATAAATTTAATATTTATTTTGTGGAAGGCAACAGTTTTGTTAAACTCTTTTACGGAGTGTTTATCTCCAATCTTGACATCTGAAGTTGCTTCTGCTGGTTTCAAAACAACAAATACACAGCCAAAACTATCATATAAATAGAAATTAAATACTACTGAATTGAAGAAATCCAGCTGTATTCCAGCTATGAAATATATTTCAGTCTTATTTGTACTACCTATATCTACACATAATTTAATAAAAAAACTTCAATCTGTTACAGGCATATTTGTAACTAGCGATGAAGATGTCTTTGAAGATCCTAATTGCTTTAGTAAATTACGATCAACCCTTAACCACATATATAAAGGCTTAAGTATCAATGAGTATATGTTTGGAAACTGTCCTTACTCTAATGAAAGGCTGATCCTTCACATGTCTACAAGTACTAAAGTACTTACATGCAAAAGCTTAGAAGTCGGAGGTTTGAATAAAAACACAACTTTAAAACCTGTTGAATGGAAATTTTCACCTAAAGCATTGAGTTGGCAAAGGCTGGACTGCTATTATGAGTTTGATGAAATTTATCCTGTTATTGTAAAGAACAGTGGTGTCTCAGTAAAGAATCAATTTCAGGTAAAATTACCATTATGATTTTAAAATTTCATAAGCCATAGTTTTTCAATGTTGGTTAGTGAATGATATCCTTCTCTTTACTTTTTTTTATTTGGGATACAAACAGGTGTATTGCTTGTACTATATAAATATACTAACCTAAATTATTATAACTTCCATGATATGTTATAAATTTTTAGCAAATTCTGGAGTCTGCACACAAAACAATTGAATCAAGTGTGATGTTTATTGATGGTGAGCTGAAAGATGGTTCAGAATCATTGGATCAACTCATAAAGAAGAAGAAAACTAAAACGAATACTAAATTGACCCAGAATGAAGCACCAAAATCTATGCATGTTTCACTATTTGTACCCTATGTAAGTTTATAATTGTTATATTTTTCTACTGTTATTTTAGGCCGTCAAGCAAATGACCATCTGATGGTGAGTGGTTACAGTCATGCAGAAATGACAGGTGCACAGCCAAGCTGCTGTTCACAGTAAAAATATGTATATGAGGAAATAATAATAATAATAAATAAATATACAGATAAATAGAAATAAAAATATCACAGCCATGAAAGTAAATGGATATGGACATAATGTAAATAATAAAATACTTGTACACTTTTTTTTTATTTTGTTATATAATAGAAAAGTACATGTTGGTTACAGTAGTTCATTATTCCAACTTAAATTGTATATGAATATTTTGTCATTCTACTGAGAATTTGCCCACGAAAAGGGCTTCAAACAGTCAAATGGTTGGGACATACTTCAAAGGGATCTTTTCATTCAACTTGTTCAACCTTTTGAGGTGAACAACTCTAAAACGAACAATGATAAATATATATTTTATAAATTAAGATTATGTTAAGTAATATTCATTTTGATATACTATACGACTCGATTATGAATTAATCAATCTATGAAAAAATAAAAAAGCAATTTTAAAGCTTACCCAATGTCCTTGATGAAAGAACTATAAATTGGTGAGAAAGATCAAAATGTTGTATATTATGATTTATGCTTATCTATATTTAAGTCATTTTAGTATAAAATGGTGTGAATAGAATAATCAAATATGTTTTTCAGGAAAACACGCTTCCTGAAACAGTTGAGTATTTAGAATGCGAAGGCAGCATACATTTTAGCGGTGTAGTATCGTCAAGCGTTTTTATATACCCAAAGGCGACAGTAAAAGAGGCGATCGCCGCAGTCAAGCAAGATATTGTTCGTTCACTTGCTTCAAGATTCACAATGCATTGTGATGCATTAATTGATGACAACCTTCTCCCGGAAGGTAAAACAGAATATTTTTTTTAATGAATGTGGCAAGTGTGGGAGTTTGTTTGTAGTAATTCGGTTATGGGCTTAGCGTTAATTTCTTTTTTATATTTTTCATTGTGTTGATGGATGAACAAGATAGTAACAGAGTCCATAGACATCACAATGTGAATGCTGTAATTCAACTAAAGACATGATATAAATTAATAATTAAAATGATAAAGAATGTAGTCAATGCGTATTGAGTAAGGGTTGCCACCATTTTTTGCAGATAAAGTACATTGGATATTAGGTATATTGGTAGGAAAAAAGTACATTGCATTAAAATAAAGTACATATAATCATTTTTTTTTGTTTAGATACATATTTTTTATTACAATTGAATAAAATAAACAATAATATTATAATATTATAAAGAGGAAAGATTTGTTTGTTTGTTTGTTTGTATTGTATTGAATAGGCTCCGAAACTACTGAACTGATTTAAAAAAATCTTTCACTGTTTGGAAGCTACACTATTCCCGAGTGACATAGGCTATAATCTTTTTTTTTTTAAAATAGGGCTCCTTATATAAAAAAATTACCTAATATATTCTTTACATCGCGTGCCCTGCGAAAACCATTGATGATGGAATAAAATAATGTATTACGACTTTGTAGAACACATTATTATTTAAAAATAGCTCTTTTTTTGTTTATTACCTAGATGGGTGTACGAGCTCACAGCCCACCTGATGTTAAGTGGTTACTGGAGCCCATAGACATTTACGACGTAAATGCGCTGCCCACCTTGAGATATAAGTTCTAAGGTCTCAAGTATAGTTAAAACGGCTGCCCCACCCTTCTAACCGAAACGCATTACTGCTTCACGTCTGAAATAGGCAGGGTGGTGGTACCTGCCCGCGCGGACTTATAAGAGGTCCTACCACCAGCTAACTCCAAATTAACATTGACATACATATATAAGCAGACGAGCCAGCGGCTCAGTTGATTTTAAATGGTTACCCAAATTATAAGATAATAGCAACGAAAAATATTGTTTTTCATCTAGAATATTGTAAATAAAAAATAGGACCATTGATTTATTTTAATATATTATTTAAAATTTAATTTAACAATTATGATATATTTTTTCCAGAAAAGATTTGTTTCAATGAGCCGCCACGCCGGGTGTTAGTTCCAGTGGGATCCCTTTATCTCTGTGATTACTTATTCCCTGGAGAAGCACCGGCCGAAGCGTTACTTTCTGTTCGGGAACTATTGGATCTAAAAATAACAGAAACTGATGTTATATGCGATGTTGAAACACCTGCAGGTGCATAAGTCTTCGTATTTCTTGGAATAATTTTATTGAATTATATCACATATTCCTTGTATAATTTTCAAGGACATAATATTATAAAATAATTATGCAACAGTGTGTTTTGTTTATAATAGCTTACATTGGCAGAAAAGTAAGCAACTTGGGCTGGGTCTTTCTAGTCATATGCGACATTTAGAAAGTACTGAAAATAATTGTGTGGTTCTCATTTATATGTTGTAGTAAATTTAAGTGTCATTCATTAAAAAATCTGATTATGAAACGTTGTAAACGGATGATTGAATCAAATAGTACAATACTATTTAAAAAAAATACTCTTCCTTAATTTGTGCAACATTTATATTTCAGATACTTCCGAGTTTGACGCCCTAGATCGAGATGCAAGTAGTGAGGAATTGTTGGCAACACCACAGGAAGCGAGCCAGTTCATGTATATTACGGGACTTTGTTTTGCCATGCTCGTACTCCTTGTTTCTATTATAATTCATTATTACGATGGTATAATTCAAGTGCTGAGTAAAATCTTTCCTAAATCCTGAAAGTAAATATGTTGTTATTGTTAAAGCATTAAAAGACTCGTTTTTTTTTCATGTGTAAGGTGTGTTGTTCTTTTCATAATGAGTAAAAATAATTATTTATATACGAATATGGTTACGAAATATATTATTCACATTTATATGGTGTACAAATAATGTTTTCAAATGTATTTTATAAATAAATGACTTCTCAACTAGTTTCCTTTTTTTTAATGATGATGCAATAATTCTTTTTAAAAGTCCGTAGAGGAGCTTTTTTGGGTGTTTAGCGTTTAGCTTGAACCTATTCGTGCTGAAATTTGGTCATTTTTGACATGGTTAGAATTTTTTAAGAAAAACCTTTTCATAAGTAACTTGAACAAGGTCTTGGCTCACATGTTAAACGGTTAAGGAGCCCACAAACAGCAACGTGAATGCGTAGCTTGAGATATAAAATTCAAGTTTACAATAGCTGTCCTATCCTCGGAGCCATAATTGCTTCGCAGTAGAAATAGACAGGTCAAACACTATTATAAGTCTTACAGTGATCATGGTGTCTGCAAGAGCGTGAAAATATGGGAAACACACTTACAGGATTTTCGGAGCACAAGGTCTAAAGCTCATTTAATAAGCTCAGACTCGATTGCTAGGGTGGAATCAATAGTAAATTCGCCATCTATTGATATATTTTGAAACTTTTTAGTGGGCTTCAATAGATGGAGCTGAAGTACGCTGCATAATACTACAAAAATAAAATGTCGTTGTATTAGATTCTTGGAATCGCAAAGATACCAAAACCTACAGGTGGGAAAGAGATAATATATTGTTTGATAAGCATTTAATTCATAGTCATATCAACTGATAGCGGAACGGGAATGTTATTTAATTTTGTGTATGTAGTGCTTTGTTGTAAATAGTATGTTTTCATTTAGTTGTGTTTTGTGTATGTTATAGACGAGTAGTGTAGTAACTTGAGTGTGTTTTGATTAATAATGTTGGGCTTAAAAATGTTACCAACAAAAATGGTTATTCTATGAAATTTTTGTGTTATGTGGAGTTAGTGCTATTTAGTATCTATAGAACATGTGAAGGAACATCTGTAGTGAAGGATCATCACAATTAATGAACCTACACAAGCGCCTAGCGTGTTCAATTATTCAAAGAACCGGTTTCTATATGCGACTTATTTAATTTGCAAATCTTGAACCGATGCAGACAAGTATTATGTGCAATGGCATTTTCACTAAATAAATTGAAAAATATTTTGAATTCAAATAAAGAAGCCCAGTTAGCTGGGAGTGGAAGTTTAGAACCAGAAATTGGTTTCAAGTTGGCCTTACACCCAATTACAAAGAATTTATATGTGACAGTTATTGGCGCCCGGCACCTCCCTTCCTTGTTTGGATTGAGTCGCGCCCATGGATACCTTGTTAAGGTAACTCCAATTATTATTATTTTTTTAGCGTTCACTAACTGTTAATGTAACTACTTACCGAAAAAAAACTTTATTGTCTCGAAGTAAGACGGCAGCTGGTGTATGGATGTATATATTTATTTTACATTATGTGCTGCTCACCTGATGGTAAGTCATCGCTGAAAACGGATACTAGAAAAACTAGGGCAGAGTAACCTATTTTTGCTTACAACAACTATTAATAATTGTGTAATATTTATTGGTGCAGTATTGACAAACTAAAGTTTTGACTCATTAGCATACTCTGCACTTGACCTTAAAAGTCACAACTCACACCCGACAAATCCTGTTCAGACTCCAAAGTCTAGTACAGTAGGTATTTAATGAGTTATCAGGATGCTTTCATTCTGCGTCGGGAACTTTTCGGAACGGCAAGGCAAAATAGTCTTCAACTAAACCTGACAGCTAGAAGAGGCATTGCGGTGCCAGGTGGTGCTAGCTAGTTCGCTTTGTTCCTGTTCGGAATCAGTCTACTGAAGCACTAATTGGTATTCGGAACTGTACTGGTGCAATTCCGAATGGTGGTAGGATCTCATGTGAGTCCGCACGGGTAGGTACCAACATCCTGCCAATTTCTGCCGTAAAACAATAATGCGTGTCGGTTTGAAGGGTGGGGCAGCCGTTATACTGTACGAAACTGAGGCTTAGGACTCGTGTCTCAAGATGAGCGGTGGCATTGACGTGGTTGATGTCTATGAGCTGCGAGCACCGCTCGACACCAGCTGGTGGGTGAGGTCGCCCTATTTTAACACTAAAAATAAAAATAAACATTCGGCATTGAACGGTCCGTCAAGATTCTGGTGATTTGCGTGGTCTTGTAGTTTTCTTTCGATTTATGAGCATATTCTTCACCTTCAATATAAGTGATCGCCGTAACTATGTCGTTGAAGATGTCAGGGACATACTCGAGCCGTTGTCCCTATCGCATTATGTATATAATATTTATATCGATACTAATTAGTGATTGATATGTACCATTACTGTCAATATTGATCGAAAGCTGCTCACACGATACTATGTGTCCCTTAAATTTTTTGTAGACTACAATTTTTTTATATTTATTGCTTAGATGGACGGACGATCTCATAGCCCACCTGGTGTTAAGTGGTTACTGGAGCCCATAGACATCTACAACGTAAATGCGCCACCCACCTTGAGATATCAGTTGTAAGATCTCAGTATAGTTACAACGGCTGTTCTACCCTTCAGACCGAAACGCATTACTGCTTCACGGCAGAAATAGGCAGGGCGGTGGTACCTACCCATGCGGACTCACAAGAGTAAAATTATTTAAGTTTACTAAAAAAATACAGGTTGTTTTAAATCAATATTAAATTCATTGACATTTTCTTAGAGATAAAGTTTAATGAATTAATTACAATAAAATGTATTTTAATGCTTAACTTCGAACTACTGTCATCCGAACTGCTATCACTGTCTGTAATCCCATTAACACATTTCTTTTATTGGCGTAAATTGGAAGACTTCGCAATAGCAGACAGATATGACAACACAATGCGGTCGGCATCAATTTGAATTACGTGGTTGAAGTATTAATTGCATTGGAAAAAGGGTCGAATTCTTTTAATCCGATACGTTAATTTTTTTTCACCAATAAACAGATTATCGACTGTTCTAGTAACTGACTGCCATCTGTGAAAAACAAGTGAATAACACACACCAAATATATAGATATACGTGCCATTCCTTTTCAAAATTAGAGACTGACAGAGACTCAAAAATTCAAAAAGTGCCCATAGAGTACTTTCAAACAGTCAAATATAATTTTCAGCTGGCCGTGATATTTCATTTTAATTTCGATAAATTACGCCAAACAAACATTCGGCGTAGCTAGGAAACATTGTTAGAAAGATCTATTAATATAGATGATCGGTACATTGCATATTTTGTATATACAATTTAGACAAGACTAATTGCAGAATTTGAGTTGTTCACACCTCATAACCCGTAATACATCTTGGGTAACATATGGTCTGATTATGATTTATCTAGCGTTTTGACTACGCACACTATAAGGTTTGATCTTAACAGTAGTTAGATAAATTTTAAAATAAGTACGTAACATCGATGTCCGTTTTCTAATCAATAATATATCATCATCATCATCATTATTCTGCCCTTCTCCCAGTCACCTGGGGTCGGCACAACATGTTTTCTCCTTCCATACTCTTCTATCATATACCATTTCTCCGCTCACTCCCCTCTTACCCATATAGTCTTTCGCACAATCCATCCATTTCTTCTTAGGTCTACCTCTCCCTTTATATCCTTCCACATTCATAGTTAACACTCTCTTACCAACCTCATTTTCATTTCGTCTCATCGCATGTCCATACCATCCCAAACGCGCACTCCTTAGCTTCTCTGTCACAATAATATATATCAGTCATTAAAACCCGTTTCAGTTTAGTGGAATTACTTCCGCACTATTTATACTGGACCTCTTTCTTATACATCTGGCTGCTATTAAAGTACTTTTGATATTATAAATCGGAAGACCCAAATGGAAAGTATCTATTGTGATGTTGATGTCCAATATTGATTTCACGAAGGAAACTAGCTATCAAAAGAAAAGAGTTTCATTTTAGATTCTTACCTCCGAACAGACACTGACCTCTAAAAGATCAAGAAATATTTTCTACAAGAAACTCTGGTACGATCCGCTGCGTTTTCAAATGTATATTATATATTGTATACACAAATACATTTTTTTTTATTTTTATTGCTTAGATGGGTGGAGGAGCTCACAGCCCACCTGGTGTTAAGTGGTTACTGGAGCCCATAGACATCCACAACGTAAATGCGCCACCCACCTTGAGATACAAGTTCTAAGGTCTCAAGTATAGTTACAACGGCTCCCCACCCTTCAAACCGAAACGCATTACTGCTTCACGGCAGAAATAGGCAGGGTGGTGGTACCCACCCGCGCGGACTCACAAGAGGTCCTACCACCAGTAGTTTTGTTGAGGTACATGTTGGTCCTTATGGGGCCTTGGTTATACTATTCCCTAAAGTAAATAACAACTGTACCAAGTTTTATCACAGTCGATGAATAGTCTAGGAACAATTGGAAACACACATTCATATTTATTTATACAGAAATAGCTCTATAACCAAATTCTAAAATCGGCTAATTCAGCATTAATGAGTTGTGAGGTGTGATTACTAAATTATTTGCTAGAAAATCATAAGCATTATTTTACTCTGATATAGGTATATCGGGAGGTGAGAACTCGTTGGGAATTAATAACTCCACGTCCCTAGTTTTAGTCAATAATAAAAAGACTAAACTCATAGTTTTGGAACAAAATAGGGGCATTTTGTGTTAGTTATGTTCATTTTAATGTACCGTTACTCGTGCTTCGTGTGCACTTAAGCTTTATAAAATATCATAAACACTCGTATATAATAATTAACCAAGTATTTATTTATTTATTTATTGTACACAAAAAGAAAATACAATAAAAACAGATTTAAAGAATGTCTAAATACTATGTACAAAGGCGAGCTTAACTCATTCATGAGTTTTCTTCCAGCAAACCATTAGCAGAGAGAAATACGATGTATAAGAGGGGAATAGTGTACAATATAAGAGCTATTAAAGCATGATTTTTAAACTAAGCATTAAAAAAAAAAATCTAATATTAAATGAAAAATACATATAAATAAAAATACATAAAACAATAACTTAAATACGATTAAAGTGACAGGAAATGTTTCTTCATTTGACTCTTAAAAACTTCTAGAGAGGAACTAGCACGAATAGGTTGAGGGAGAGAATTCCATAATCGCACTGCTTGTATTGTGAAGTATTCATTTAAAGATGTAAAAATGTTCTGGAATTGTCATCTAATGGCTTGTTAAAATACATTGTTGTCGGTAACCTGCAATGAATTTATCAGATTCACGTACAATGGCCATTGTGATGAGTCTACGTGATACGGGTACAGTGCGCTACCGCCCAGGTATTTAACATCCGTATAATTGTTTTCCTAATTGAGGCCAGCTCGACGCTACGAAGCGCTATCTAAGCGAGACACATTAATTGGTGTTTAGCAAGTATGATTGACGAAAACTGTCGAAATTACAATTTGTGTGGAGTTTAAAACTAGTGTTCAAATCATTTTTTTTTTTTATTTCATTCATCAACATCAGCGGCACTAAATCCATGGCCTAAACACGGATGTAATTCAACATAACAAAAAAAGGAGCATCTTTGTCGTTCACGAAGATTAAAGTATTTGAAATTGTGAAATAAAAATAACATCTTACACAAAACAAATCTTATACAAAAGTAACTTAATTGCAATTAAGTAATTAATTAATTAATGTTTACGACTCGCGAAAATCTAAGTAAATTCTGAACAAATTATTTTGGACCAAAAACATTTGTAGTATCTAAAGACTCAGCAGAGCCTAAAATAAGGAAATACTTTAAATGCGGAGGCAGGGTATATCACTCAGGCGGCACGATTACCTATCATCGTTTTTCCTTTTTTCCAGAATATATACATAATAGATTTGAAAAGATATTAAAATAAATCGAGATTCACTGTTTCTGGCGTAATTTTATTAATTATCGGCTATATTAGGTCTTTCTTTCTTTAGAAATAAGTAGACCTATAGTGTAAATAACTTAACAATATGTGTGTTACGACACATAATTTAAATTGCCGATGTCCATAAGCGACAGCCACTTAACTTGCGGGTTCATCTTTCGTCAAAAGTACTAATTACTGATAGGAGTCACACGCTCCTCAACTATAGTCTCCATACTAGTGATTTACAAACGGTCATGACAAGCATGAGGCAATATTAGATGCATCGTTATCCATTGTGTAATTATTGTATTGTATATATCGCTGAGGTAACAAATCGTAGGTGTTGAGTTGAAACTTGAATGTTAGTCATGTTTTTAAAACTCATTCTAGGCGTGCAATAAAATGGAGATAAAGCATTGCGAAACTAGACGTCACATTCAATTTATTTACGCAAATCATGGACAATATTAGGTAGCAGATCAAGGAGTAGGTTATATAGGTTAATTTTCGGAATTTCATCTTTAGTTTATTTTATTATTATTTTTTTCTAAATCTATGGATGTGATGACTGGGACATCTGAACAAGAGGATAGATTTACCATGGACAAACAAGAGAATTAACCAGGAAAGATAACGAAATCTCTTGTTAAACAATTCAGATGATTCTATCAAAAATACATTGAGAGTTAATTTAACATAAATTAAACTTTAGTGTAGGAAAATCTGTGACCTCTTGTGAACTGATGGTAGGACCTCTTGTGAGTTCGCACGGGTAGGTACCACCACCCTGCCTATTTCTGCCGTGAAGCAGTAATGCGTTTCGGTTTGAAGGGTGGGACAGCCGTTGTAACCATACTGAGACCTTAGAACTTATATCTCAAGGTGGGTGGCGCATTTACGTTGTAGATGTCCATGGGCTCTAGTACCCACTTAACACCAGTTGGGCTGTGAGCTCATCCACCCATCTGAGCAATAAAAAAAAAACACTACCCTTAGCAAGAGCAAAAGCTAAGTAAAATCTACCACCGGAGCTTTGGAAGACAAATGATCTCGTTTTCTAAATGTATAATACTAAAAAAACATCAATCAGCGAAATTCGTTATTGATGATCCAATGTGTTGTGAACATGTAAACATAAACCACCACTCTATGTTACCTATGTTAATAGGAAAGGATTCATGCTTTCCGATCTCAAATCTTGGAAATCGGTGACAACACTGCCGTTTGGTTGCTCCAACAAGTTATAAACTTTATGCGGACTGAGCACTCGTTTGCTCAAATAATCCATTTAAAAATCCATAACTTTGAACTTAATAGTCGATTCAGACACCGGCTTATATTAGATGAAGTCATAAAGTTTAAAACAATTTTGCCGAATGGCGAAGGGCGTGTCCTGCGCAATATAAATTGAACGAATCAGTCTCACAAAGAATTGATTCTGAGATACGTTATTTGTCGGGTTTTAATTCGGGTACGTTTAATATGTGCAATTGGATCTATTTCATTTAACAAGTGTACTTCATTCGCTACAGCTAAATTAAATCAGGTTTAATTGGATTACGTTCGGTTATATCGATTGATACGTACAAACATTGAGTGTTTTATACCAACACTATTGACAAATTTATTCTGTCTGATTGAGTCAAATTTGACGATCCTCTGACATAAAAAGTAAAACTGTGTGTTGCTTATTAATATGCTTTTATTAGCTTCAGACGTATGTATGTATGTTTGTAACGGAATTTTTGAACATGATTTTAACCCCCTTCAAAATGTCTGAATAACTCGAAATTTGATATACATACTTATTTACTATGAAAAAATTTTTTTTTATTGCTTAGATTGGTGGACGAGCTCACAGCCCACCTGGTGTTAAGTGGTTACTGGAGCCCATAGACATTCACAACGTAAATGCGCCACCCACCTTGAGATACAAGTTCTAAGGTCTCATGTATAGTTACAACGGCTGCCCCACCCTTCAAACCGAAACGCATTACTGCTTCACGGCAGAAATAGGCAGGGTGGTGGTACCCACCCGCGCGGACTCACAACAGGTCCTACCACCAGTAATTACGCAACTTGTAATTTTTGCTAGTTTCATTTTTATTACACGATGTTATTCCTTCACCGTGGAAGTCAATTGTGAACATTTGTTGAGTACATATTTCATTAGAAAAATTGGTACCCGCCTGCGGGATTCGAACACCGGTGCATCGCTTCAACACGAATGCACCGGACGTCTTATCCGTTAGGCCACGACGACTTCAAATTTTGTCAATAACATATTCATTTGTCTGTAGGCACAGAAATACTCGTAGTTTCAGCTATAAAAAGTGTTAGTGATAATTAAACCTACTGCATAAGTTGTAATGGATCTAATTCGTAAAAGCAATATTGGCACTATAATTTAGTAAAGTATTTGTAGACATTTTTTTAGATGGGTTGACGAGCTCAAGGACCACCTGCCGAAACCTGTTGCCTGCCTGTTACCGAAGCTCATAGACATCAACAGCCAGTTTAAGACATGATTTCTGAAGTCTCCGTTTTTATAGTACAGTGTTGGCTTTTGTATACGAATACGTTCATAATTCTATTATAAAAAAGTTATACTGGTCTCTAATGATGCGGTTAAGGCAATAAAACGTCTTCATTCTAATACTGCACATTATGTTACTCAATGATACCAAATAGTCCAGTGAATGCTAGATCCTGGCATGGATTAAGACGAATTACATTTAGATGTATCCACAATAGACCCAGCTATATATGGTGATTGGTTGCTCATAGCGACTATCATACTACCGGTTTAAAGAATGTAAATCTTTTTGTGTGTAATCCAAGTAATCATAATGTGGTGTTTATTACGTCCGTACATATAAAAATTATTACGGAACAGCAGTCTATAGACTTTATAGCTTCATTTTATAGTCATTTCAGCGTTCCGTGTAATAAATTCTGCTTTTATCTTGAATACAGATTTTCATGAAAATAATGTACCTACTAAAATATAAAAAAAATTATATGAAGCTATGCTAAAGTGATTTTAATACCTAAAAAATAAATTAATTAAATAAACCCAAGAACTGCGGAAGATTAGACAGTGGAGAAGGCGATTTAGTTATGTGAAGTCAATGAGGTAAAGTTAGTAATCCGCGGGTAAGCGACCTTATCCGAGGCGGTCAGCGACCCAAGACCAGCTGGGGGTAGATTGAGAAGCTGGAATAGTGCTAACACGATTTCTACCACCCACACTCATATAAGAGCAGCTTAAATATATAACTAACTTACAGCCACGATGCCAAATGTCGGTGAGCGCTTACATGATTTTAAACAAACATTTTAAATACTAATCATTTTCGATTTTTCTATTTGCTATTTATATACTCGTGTTTAGTTACGACCCTCGCGCTTTGTAGTTAAGCAGTCGTTCGATTAATTTCTTTAATATTGGTTATTGTCTTATTGTTCGGTTAAGCATTACACAAAAAGTAGCTGCGATTGGTTTTATGAAGTTAGTACTTAAAATATAACATTTTTTGTTTTTTTTATTGCTCGTGTAGACAGAACATCATACGGCTCAGTAGTAGGAGATTCGGCCGCCGGCCCGAAAAAAGGCATTTCTCATGGATTAAGATACAAAATCGTGTATAGGCCCAATACTTCCAAACGGACTTTTAAACAATATTGTCATCGTAGCCGGTATTTTAGAATAAAATGATTAAATAACTGACTATCTATTGTAGTAAAGAGTAAATGAAAAAAAAAGAGTAGTAGACTCACTACAATGCCATTTTTAATCACATAAAATACATGTGCGTTTTATCTTTGTTTTCGTTTTATCGTAAACTGAATTAATACTTTCCTGCATTACATTTATTTGATGACGATTGAATGCAAATGTAATAGTCATACAATAAACTCGAAATGAGAAGTACTATGATAACATGAATTTAATAACATATTTGTAGTTCATGCTTATTACTTAATGTCTTTCCATTTTTTCCCATACCTAAGCTGGTAGCTTTTAGGGGTATTCCAGCGTAAACGAGCAAGTAGGTGAGCTCACGCAGCTCTGACTTGACGATGTTTCTAACACTAGCCCTAGCAAGAGCAGTGCTTCGCAGAATCTATCACCGGATCGGAATCGCGACCCATTGAGATGATCCGGCGAGAAACTCAGTGGGCTGTGTCTATGGGTTAATTCACTCGACAAACCCTTCACGCAAGCGACGGGTTCAACGAAAAATCTTTCCATATGCAGTTTCGCTTGCGTGAACTACGCTTAATATCGCGTGAGTGGGGACCCATGTCCACCAGTCAGATGAAAGTTAGCCTATAAATTTTCCCAGAGCTCAAACTAATTCCATACAACATTTTGTAAGAAATGTATTAGTCGCTTGGGCATAATAATGAAACAGACAGACAATTACTTTCGTCTGCATAATATTATTTCGTATGCATATTAATTGGTTAGTAAACACTTTGCGGTGCGAGGTGGTGCTAGCTAGTTCATTTTGTTCCTGTTCGGAAACAGTCTGCTGAAATACTAATTGGTATTCGGAATCTGGGTCTACATGTTTTTGACTCGTCTTTCCGATATACATGACGGGAGAACCTGTGAAGCCGTGAAGCAGTAATGCGTTTCGGTTTTAAGGACGGGGCAGCCGTTATACTGTAAAAAGTGAGACCTTCGGACTTATATCTCAAGGTGGGTGGCGCATTTACGTTGTAGATGTCTATGGGCTCCAGTAACCACTTAACAACCAGGGGGGCTGTCAGATCGTCCACCCATCTAAGCAATAAAAAAAATTCCATTGAATTTGAGGGTTTTTATTACTTATTTATATAATGAACGCGTCTGACGAATGCCGCATAATGTGCTAAGTGGCGTATTTACTAACTTCCTAAATGTATAAAAAGGAGCTTATTTTTTTGGAATTAACTAGAGCTAACTAGTGTACAGCGTAAATGTACGAAAATATTTACCAACTGAGATACAAGTGCTCGTGTATTTTTCAATTGTCGCCATTACATCACACCCAATATGATATTGTTCGCGACTTTATCACTGTTATCAGTGTTCGGGACGTTATCTCGATCTATGTGTATGCATTTTTTTAAATCGTTTTCTTATCTGCCTATACAACAAAATTACTGATAGCCATTGTTAACTTTTATTTATGAATATGAAACAATTTAGTGTTACTATTGCGCAAAGGTTTTTTTTGAACGATTTTCTCACATTTGTTATGACTAATTTCCTAAATTTAATTTAAGAGCAATAGCTTCTCTGTGTACATACAGCCCAATAATGTAATTCAGTTTTGGTAAATAAATTAGAAAAGGTCGACGAAATTAAATCATATCCGTATTTTACAGGTAAAAGTATTTCCCGGCGAAAGTAAATACGAAACGACGCTACAAGAGAATTCATGGCCGGTATGGAACGAAGATTTCAAATTTCAATTAAAGCAAAAAGAAGCGAAGAAGTCGTCGGACAAAATTGACCTTCAGAATTTAGTATCCGGTCATTTTTTATCACTTACAATTTATGCTATATTAGAGCCGCCAAAACAAGAAGCCGACAAACGTAAAAACAGTAAGACAATAGATACTAAAAATGCAAAAGTAGGAGATCAAGAGGAACCCAAAGCTAAAACAGGTTTTCTGGAGAAAACATTCAGTAGTTTCAAAGCGACAAAAGCTGAAGCGATAGCACAAAAATCTATTTTGGAAAAACGACGGACCGTAGGGGCAGCCACTTGGAATTTTGACTCTAAATTATTTCAAAATGATTTGAAGAACGGTTTGATTGGAACTCCAGACATATGGAGGCCCATAAATGCGATTGCAAGTGGAATTACCGCAAGTGAAAAACGGGTATGTAGTTATTATTGAATTATTAATAAATATCGTACGTACGCATGAGTTACGTAGATTCGTACAAAAATATTATGTCACACATTATGTCATATTACATATTACGAGCAATTCGTGACATCTCAACTTTTTTTTATCATATTAAAAAAAAATCGACTCACTCTCATAGGTAAATGCGGAGATAATGAAACGAAAGAGAAATATTCTCAATTAAATTCGCTATTCTCGTGAATGACTGACTGTTGTATTTAGGACATGAGTTAACTCTGATTTTGCTTTCTCTAAAGTTTTATCTTGATTATTTAGAACAAATTATAGGAATATAGACGTACAGAGGCTGATTTGTCATTAAATTAACTCGTAGTCTCGTATGAGTGAGTCATTTCGTGTGAATCTTGATTCGGCCTTATAATACAGTCTACAAAAAATAGTTGCGACCTCGAGCCATCCGAACTCTGTGCGTTTCACATATCCAAGTGTCTGTTTCGATAAATAAAATAAATACTGTGCTCGCAATATTTCAGATTCTAAAATTTGTTATACCGTCCATGATCACGTGAATAGTACCTACTAGAGAAGATTGCCTGTAAAGTAAAATATAGTGGTTAAAGATGGTCTAGCTTTTAAATTTTTTGCACTAATAAACAAAATTACAAGCATTGTAGGTATAATTAAAAGTCACTCCTTAAAAAAAGATAATACACATCTACCTTTATTCCAAATAACAGAGTTCCACATTGTTTCTATTCCATTTTAAAATTAACTAGCTATTCTGGTATTATTGCAATAACAAAAATATTTGGAAGAATGAGGAATTATAATTTTTATATTGATGATGAATTGCAATATGATTATTTGTAAGATATTAAGAAGAGCTTTAAAAGTTTTTTTAAGCAAATTAAAAATCGGTGATAGTTCAGGCAGATATTTTTGTTCCTCGCCGCTGTAGAATTTTCTGAAATATATTGTTTACTGTTGGATGCCATCTACACCTTTTTTTAAATTACTTTTTCTTAAAATTGTCTATTAGTACCCAATCGATAGTTAGCTTGACTAACTGGACATCAGGGCTGACGTGGAATGGGAGGAGTTGAGTTGAATACTAATATATTTTCTACACTATAATTTGTCTTATGGGCTATCCACATTACCTTACATGTTAACTTTTTTAAGAAGTTACCTCAAGCTATTTTGTTCAACTGCTGTCCAGAAACTTCAAGATAGACCAAGATTAGATCGATACAGATCCCCAAGTCTTTTCATTAGCTCTTAGATTATAATATAAAAAGAAATATTTGTGGCATTTTCAGTATCTTTGGCATTGCTTGTGTCATTGACCGGAATTGGAATTTTCCGACATTCGAGATATCTGTGGGCAACAAAAACGTGATGTATAAAGTTTAAACAAAAACTCACATCAATGTCATTGTTACTAGTTTTTATGTACTAGACTAACTATATGGTATTCTTCGACGACGCAAACAAAGTTTTAAGTTTTACGCTTTTCTTAGTCTCTTCTGGTCTATCTGTCTATCCTATTTAACTTCCACACTCCTGATAAACTTGAAAATTTTAAGGTCGGATGATAATGCAATAATCTTAGTACTTTGATTAAATATGCATTATCTGCATATAATATACACAGATAATTTTTTATCAACTTTTAGTCTGCCTTGCATATTTTTTTAGTTCTTAAGCTATATTTATTTTCTGTGTTCGTGAATTGACGCTCCGACCTACATATTACAGTAGTATTATATTGTTACCGGAGCAGATAGATATCAAAACCCTAATACCGTGATCCATCTTGACACATGGGGCAAAACCATGGAGGTTTTAGAGTTAGGATTGTTTTAGTAATAAGCCGTATGTAGAAGATATCACGTACTACATTCCTCTAAAAAAATGCTTTGTAAATAATCGATCGTTTAAATTGTAAAAAAAACTTCAGGGTGAAAACACTAAAGGCCAACTGGAGGTGACCCTTTTGTACACGGCGAGCGAAGACGGTCTGAACGATGTGGTTCAGTTGACAGTAAACAGATTACGTTGCAGCGTCCACACAATGCAGGAACACGAGAAATATAAAGGTGAGAATATTAAGTTTTAACGAGCGATTGCGTGCGACCAGGAACGTGGTGTTTACTTTAGACACGGCTATATTCTATTCAAACTTATCGATTAAATGCAAGTTCCTACGATGATTTTTATAAAATACGTCTTAGCTGTGACCTTAGTTGAGCTTAGTATAGTTAAACTCGGTCCAGTTCTTTTGTACGGCAAGATTGGTAGTCGAGGTCATGGGTTATCTGATGTTAAACAGTTATCCGGGATCAGTATGGACCTGGAGCCACTATGTTCATCCACAGTGCGTTTCCAGAGATCTTTTTTGCCACGTACCATCCGGCTATGGAATGAGCTCCCCTCCAGTGTTTCCCGAGCGCTGTGACATGTCCTCCTTCAAACGAGGCTTGTGGAGAGTATTAAACGGTAGGCAGCGGCTTGGCTCTGCCCCTGGCATTGCTGACGTCCATGAGCGACGGTGACCACTTACCATCAGGTGGGCCGTATGCTCGTCTGCCTATACGGCAATAAAAAAAAAAGTACTATAGAAAATGAAGCCTGAGCATTGAAGTATTGATTGTATTGCTAGAACGTCTAACTTAATTCACGAAAGGAAAACCACAGCTACCTCGCGGCAGATCTAGCAGATAGTTTAGAAACGTGCTCCAAACTTGCACATATTGCACACATTTGCACCAGCAAATACTCGTAAGTAAGGTAGCTTACCTACCTGCCTAGCTTACGTGTAATTACTTAATATCTTATGCGAATTTCGCACATACAAGTCGAAACGTTCAATGCCACGTGGTATCGATCGGATGTTACTCAATGTGTTGTTGCTCTTTCAGAATTTACGTGTTTCGTAGATTTTTTTATTTTTAATGTCTTGAAATATAAACGCGCCGATCATAGACCACCTGGATATTAGACTTAGTGATATTATACTTTTTGATATGAAGACAAGCCGATTTAGCGGTTACTAGGTATTGCAGATATGACTGCTGTGAGCACTGCCCAGTTTGCGACGTGAGTGAAAATCTCAATTACAATAAAGGAATGGCTTGTTCTTAGTGTTAAGTGAACGGACTCACGGCACACGAGCGTGCTTAGTGCGAGTTTTTTAACGTTCTCGATAGCGTAAAAGTTAACTCAAATTTGTATGGAGTTGGAACAGAGCCCCTAGCGGCAAACGTAGGCAAAACTCGCACTAAGCACACTGGTGTTAAGTGCTATCGGAGCTTATAGACATTACAATAAGAATGCCGCCACCCACATTGAGCCATATTGTAGAAGTCATAACTGTATTGCATAAACGCTGCTCCGGCCTTCAAACCGTAATACAGGACTGCTTCGCGGTAGAACCGGTCATCGTTCTCGTCGAACCCGTCGCTAGCGACGAAGGGCTCGACGAGTAAATTAACCCTCAGACACAGCCCACTGAGTTTCTCGCCGGATCTTCTTAGTGAGTCGCGTTTCTGATCCAGTGGTAGGTTCTGCGAAGCACGGCTCTTGCTAGGGTTCGTGTTAGCAACGTCGTCAGGTTTGAGCCCTGTGAGCTCACCTACTAGTAAGGTTACGCTGATATAGCCTCTAGGCTCTCAGCTTAGGTAGGGAAAAAAAGAAAAAAAATGTAGAATTAAAGCAGCTGTTAAGTATTCGGGGTAGCTAAACAACGACGTAATGAAGTATGTAACACAGGTGGTTCATGAGATCATACAACGGTCAAAGCAAAATAATCAAATTAAAATAAGAACATTTTTTTATTGCTTAGATGGGTGGGCGAGTTCACGGTCCACCTGGTGTTAAGTGGTTGCCGGAGTCAATAGACTTAGAGACAATAGAGACTACAACGTAAACACCGTCACCCAGCTTGATTGATACACGAGTTCAATCTCAATTTTAACAGTATAACGACTGCCCAACTCTTCAAACCGAAACGCATAACTGGTTTACGGCAGAAATAGGCAGAGTGGTGATACCTAACCATGCGGACTCATAAGACGTCCTAACACCAGTACCTATTATTTATATACCTATTATTTATTAAGTACCTATTACCTATTATTTATACTATATCCATATCGTCGATTTTCTTGTGCGACTTCATTTTAAACTTGGAATCGACAAAAATATCACGCCGTTAATATTGACAAGATTTCGCTTTGCTTATTTAGAAAGCGAGAGCGGTTTTAACAGCAGTAGCTACGTGTGTTGAATCATAATGCGAACTCTAAAACTTTTCAGTGTCGAATACTGCTTTATATGTACATAAACACAGTTGAGAAAAGTTTCAATAGAGTTAACGTGAGTTAAGAAAATTTGTCTGTGAACTTTGAATTATGATGTACGTATGGTGACCATTCGTTCTGTTTTTGGCAGGACAGTACTGTTTTTTTTAAGACGCTGTCCTTCTTTTTTCTTAGGTATATATGTCCAATGTTTTATTTATCTGTACTGTTTTTCAATGCAATTTAAATTATACTGAAATTTAATTTTGAAGGTAAAAAAAAATACAGTAGTATGTTTAATATTTACCTTCGCAAATAATAGCTTAGAAAAAATGTATGTCTATATTAAACTTTGGACGAACCTTTAGGCCAGCGCTACACTTGACGGAAATTCCGAAACCGAATTTTCGCGGCAGTCAACTCGTTACTATACATTGCAGTCACATTGAATATTCAGTCGAATACCATCGCTTCTACGCAGTGGTCGTAATGGATCCGTTAGGAGTGATAGCTATTTATGAGGCACTAGAAGCAGAAGAAGAGAGCGTAAATATTGGGTTCATCCCTTAAATACTCTTCGACTGGAAATTGGGCAATTTCATGCTAATTGTAGTAAAATAATTTTGCTATCTCTTCCCATGCTTGTTTCTTTGTCGTTCTATCTGGCTTTTCTCTAGAGTCCCAAAGGCAAACTCTATTTTGAACTTCGAAAATAAATCTTTCAGTGTCAAACATCCTCTGCGTGCGCCGTCGCGAACGTGGTGGGATGCATACGATCCGTCATGTCCGGCGCAGGCCTTCTTGTTTAGCCGAGAGAGTAGAGCAGTCGACTAGTGTAAACATCGATCGCTAAACGTCATTGAGTTTTTCCAGTCACCGTCCTCGTCGAAACCGTCGCTTGCGACGAAGAGCTCGACGAGCGAATTAACCCATAGACACAGCCCACTGAGTCTCTCGCCGGATCTTCTCAGTGGGTCGCGTTTCCGATCTGGTGGTAGATTCAGCGAAGCACTGCTCTTGCTAGGGTCAGTGTTAGTAACACTCCGGTTTGAGCCCCGTGAGCTCACCTACACACGTTAGGGCGAAGCTGAAATAGCCCCTCAAGGCTATCAGCATAGGTAGGAAAAAAAATAGTCATTTAAAAACTAATAACTAAACTAATAACTAACCTACGCTATTATAACATAGTTACTAATTAATAAGAGTATTAGTTCATATTACATGACCATTGTTTTGTAATCTAATAACCAACCTCTTTTTTCCCTTCCTGTCCTATTTGTCATGCAAAAATAATGGTCACTATTATTGTACGGCATAAATGTTGATACATCTATATACATGGTGTATATGATGATATTCGAGCGGGGTGCAAGACGGTAGTAAATAGGCAGTCGTTTCGTACGAACACGGAATTCTTTAAACATCCGTTCATTCATTAATACAGATGTCACAATTTCATTCGGGACGTGCTAAAAGAAACTACGAAAAGTATGCCATCTGAATGATTGGTTTGTTGGATTTTATATTTTACTTCGGCTCACTAACGCTACTTTTTGGTTGGTTTGATAATGACGTTTAAAATCTTACAATCAATACTTATATATTTTTTTGAAACTAGTAGTGTTGTAAACCCGTACGGATAGGCACTGCTATCCCGCCGATTTCTGCCACTAAGCCTATATGCAATCCGGTTTGAATAGTGGGTCACTCACGTTGGTGTCTATGGGCTTTCGCAGCCACTTAATATCAATCTGTATGTACGCCAACGCAGCTAGCGCATTTAATAAAAACTAAATAGCATTTCATTTTAACTAATTCCAACCCGAGTTTTATAGCTCTCAGTGCTTCGGGTTAATACTTTATAATAAGTGTACTCTTCAATAAGAATTACTTGCTGTACAAGAACACGAAAAAACCGTTTTTAAACGTAATTAAATATAATATTTCTAGGGATAATAAAATAGATTGAAATTATAATTTTTGTAATATTCTTCCTCTTCAATATCATGTAAAAATTAATATCCGGAATACTTGATGCAAATTTTTTTAAACATTTTCCTGAACGCGATCTTATATTAAAGATAATAACTATTAAATTTTCAGCACCTCTATACCTGAAAGCGACTATATTGGAGGCGAACAAAGCCGAGTGCTTCTGGAAGAGCGACAGATTCGTCCCAACGATATCCGCCAGATGGGACCCTAAATCCGCGACAGTGAGGCTATCGGTTTTCAAAGCGAGCCTCGATCAAGTCAGCATTTATATAAGCTTAGGATGCAAAACTAAAATGGCGAAGAAGGAAATACTCGGAAAGGCGACAATACACGCTCAGTCTGCATATTCTGAAACGTGGACGCAATGTTTGAAGGAACCGGGCATACCGAAAACGTTCTGGGTTCAATTTCAATAACGCGACACAATTCAGTACCTTATTTGATAGTTACATTGTCGGTTTCTTTGTTATTTGTTGATATTAATATTTTTATAATTGTGACGTAAATTTAATTTTGAATGAAAAAATGACAAATTAATTTAACTTCGCACGTTTTACTAATAAAATAATATATTGGAAGATTAAATTAATTCAAAACAATGCTAATATAACTGTTTTAATTCTCTCTTCAATCTTCAACCCGTGTCCACCACAATACGAGTGTGGATCTCTTCAAATGCACTCCATTCTTTTCTTTTCTGTTTCAATTTAGAATTATTTAATAATATATTAATAAGCTCTGAGTATCCTCATTCTCTCGATCCAGTCCAGGCACTTTAAGCACCGGTCACTCATCTCGTGGAAAAGTTCGATGTGCAATTTAACCCATGGACACAACTCATTGAGTTTCTCACTAGATCGTCGCAGTGGGTCGCGATTTTGATACGGTGGTAGCTTCAACGAAGCACTGCGCCGCCTCAGGGGGCCCACCTCGTGATCGGAGGCGTTCGCGTCGAGATCGAGGCGACCGGCTTGCGGTACCTCGGTCTCGTACTGGACGGTCGTTGGAGCTTCCGGGCTCACTTCGAAAGATTGGGGCCCCGACTGATGTCGGCCGCCGGCTCACTGAGTCGGCTGTTGCCGAACGTCGGTGGTCCCGACATGGTGCCACGCCCTGACCCGCGATAACGTCGCGGCGTTGCGACGTCCGCAGCGGGCGATTGCGGTCAGGGCGGTTCGCGGGTACCGCACCGTCTCCTTCGAGGCGGCGTGCGTGCTCGCCGGGACGCTTCCCTGGGACCTGGAAGCGGAGGCGCTCGCTGCGGATTACGCGTGGCGATGCGATCTCCGCTCCAGGGGGGACCGCGTCCCGGCGCGGCGGAAGTTCGAGCGCGGAAGCTTCAATCTCGGCGTGCCGTGCTCGAGGCGTGGTCTCGCCGCCTGGCGGACCCCACCTACGGCGACGAACCGTCGAGGCGATCCGCCCGGTCCTCTCGGACTGGGTGAATAGCGACTGAGGACGTCTCACCTTCCGAGCGACGCAGGTGCTCACGGGACACGGCTGTTTCGGTCGCTACCTGCACCTCGTCGCCCGGAGGGAGCTGACGCCGAAGTGCCACCACTGCAGTGGCTGCAACGAGGACACGGCGGAGCACACGCTCGCATACTGCCCCGCTTTCGCGGCGCAGCGCCGCGTCCTCGTTGCAAAAATAGAACCGGACTTGTCGCTTCCGACCGTCGTGGCTACGATGCTCGGCAGCGACGAATTTTCGTCGTCGCTGTCGTCGCCGAACATACTGTTGAAGAGCAACCCGGTCGGCGGTGTATCGCGTTCCGACCCGGCAGGCTGGTTCTGCCCAGCGGGGTATCCCGGAACACCAGCGGCACCGCTCGGGCGGCCTGGTAGGGCCGCCGTACCGCGGAGACCGACTTCGTTGGTCGTCGACTATCGCCTCGACGAACCGTCGGTCGGGCGTCCTCGGGGTGGCGCCGCGTGTCTGGTTGTAGTGTTGACCGCGGGAACCCCCCTACTCTGACCGGGTTCTGACCCCGGACGGAGATCGGATGTCGGGTGTAAGAGTCGTTTAGTGGGTGGGTTCTAAAATCCTTGGGCCCGCGATCTGCTCTCAACACCTGCAGATCGTTGAGTCTCACATACCCCGCGCGCCCCCTAGGCGCGGGTAGCTCGTAGGAGGTTCGGCCCCCGGCCCGAAAAAAAAAAAAAGGTTTTTTACTGGTGGTAGGACCTCTTGTGAGTCCGCGCGGGTACATACCACCACCCTGCCTATTTCTGCCGTGAAGCCGTAATGCGTTTCGGTTTGAAGGGTAGGGTAGCCGTTGTAACTATACTTGAGACCTTAGAACTTATATCTCAAGGTGGGTGTCGCATTTACGCCGTAGATGTCTATGTGCTCCAGTAACCACTTAACACCAGGTGGGCTGTGAGCTCGTCCACCCATCTAAGCAATAAAAAAAAAAGGTTACCAAAGATTAGGTGTGAAAACAAATTATTGAGTTCTAGATCTCCGTCCGCAGCATTGTTTGCCTGGAGATTACTATATGTCATGGGGCCGGAGACCCGGTTTCATTACTGGATTGTGAAGTTCTTTCCAAGGATTCGATATTAATTGCTATATAAATTATAACACAATAAAAGTAAATTCCAAAAACCTTTAAATGACGATAACTTTTTTCGCAACATCCTATTTAATTTCCCTGTATTCTGTTGCAAATTAATCTAACTGTGAATAGCTACTGCATCAAAAATTACTACTACTAATAAAAAGTACCACTACATTGCGAGGATGTGCGAAAACAAACAAACTGAGAGACAGAATAGACATACAAAGTAATTCTAACGGGCTTACGTTCTATTACTCCTTTTTCCTACTCCATTTTTATTACACGCTGTTATTCCTACACCGTGGAAGTCAATCGTGAACATTTGTTGAGTACGTTTTTCATTAGAAAAATTGGTACCCACCTGGGATTCGAACACCAGTGCATCGCTCCACACGAATGCACCGGACGTCTTATCTTTTAGGCCACGACGACTTCACAATACTTCTATATTTATAGTATATAAGTGAAATCCGACTACGCTCCAGCGTGATTGCCTTTTTTCCCCTAACTATTCGCTGGTAGCCTGCGGGTCTATTCCAGCTTCTCACGGACGGGATGATTATCTCTAAAATTAAATGTAAAAAACGAACCGATAGATGTCAATAGTCGCGCGCCATCTATCGCACGTTGACGGTACTATGACAAAAACTTGTCTTGAAATATCAAAAACTATCCTAAATTTCAATTAAAGTCTCGATGACTTATATGCCAAAAAAGGCGAACATTAAGTATTGATGTTTAAAATTCGTCGGGTATGCGATAGACGCAAGCGACGTAGAGTTCATAGCCCTTTAGACGTAATGACCGTAGAAAGGTACTTTTCCGGCTTCGTGATGCTTTAAATAACGCTACAGACGAGGCGTAATATCATCAATCGAAGGATGATTCTATGAGGAACGCTGACGTATATAAAGAGATGAGAATTAATATACCTACTAAGCAAGGTGATATTTAATTTTAACCCTTCGACTTCGCTGTGATAAATAGATTTATGAAGAACATGATCTTTAAGAATATGCTTTATAATGTATTTGCGTTAGGAGGAAATCACAAGATTTCGCCAACGCGTTGGTGTTGAAGACTGAACTGACTTGAGACAAGCTGTGGACAAGAAGCGCCTTTATGTTAAACGCACGAGACGCAAAGAAATCAAACAAAAAGTACTTAAAAAAATACCTGAAAGCTTCTGTAAAAATATTAGATCGAAAGCGAATAACTTACATTTATTTAGCGGTAGTAATGCTAAGGTGAGTTCTAGGCCTACCTAGTAATAATTAGTCATAAGTTCTCATTAGGCATCACAGCTTTGGTATTTGATCCAATAATATCTGCTTAGTAAGTATGAATATTGTGGTTTTAAAAAATCGAGTTTCTACTCTTATGAACTTTATTTGAAGTGCAAAGGGGACGGCCCATTTCAGGCCCAAAGCGGACAATAGATTAGAGAAAAAATACTTAGTGCATTAATTTTGTCATAAATAAATATGCATTTACTTTCTTCCAAATAAGCGCCACTACAGTTTACAATAAGTAGTTTAAAAAAAGTAACTCTATTGAAAAAAACAAGAATTTTATTTTTGCGGGAAAAATATTGCCAACTTCAAAACCTTTTACGTATTAAGTAAACATTTTAAGTATATAAAAAAACATATAAATAANTCTTCTACGGTAAAAATTTTTTCATCCGAAAAAAGAATTTCCCGATATTTTTTTCCCGCGTACCGCTTCAACAAAGCGCGGCATCTCTTCAGTCTCAGGTCCATTAGACGAGCATTCAAACGATGTCCTGTTTTTCTTCGATATGCCCGAAGCCCTAAGTCCTCATTTAACACCCTTTTCACCGTGGTTCTGCTTAACCCTATCTGAAGGGCCAACAGTTTCTGCTTACGTTTGGGATTTCTTTGAGTTCGCGCCTTCACAGCTTTTATCACTGCTGGAGTCCTAACAGACCGAGGGCGACCACTTCTTGACCTGTCATCTACACTAGAGTCTTCATTGTATCGTTTGATGGTACGATAAACGAATCTTTTGGTTATATTCAAATTTTTCAGTATGTTAAAAATTTGAATTGACGCGTAACCGCAACGATGCAACGTAATAACTGCAACACGGTCTTCTTTAAGCGTCCACTCCATATTTAAAAATGAGTAAAATTCGAAAAGTATACATTTTTATTTTCATGAACAATTCGAAATTCGAATTCAATAAACTTTTTTGTGGCCAGCATTCTAAAAGAAAAGTTTTTACTGTGTGACAATACTTATGACCTGACTAGTTAAATATTGTTACGAGCTGGGACTCAATCAAACTCATCACCGAAATACTAATTAAAACTCTAATTACTACTCCACTTAAGGTACTTTACTTCGAATAAAATGCCTTTATATCGCCTGTTCCACGTGTTTATAATGTGTCGACACGTTTTCACAGCATTGGAGAACGTTCTAGACTCTTCTATGTCGAGTACACTCTGGAGACATTAGGATATTCTATCTATCTATCTCTTAGATTTATGGCGTTTCCTTTTAGATTTCGCCAATGTCAAGTGTATATAATACTCTGCTTTCTATAGCGGGCTTCGTGAACGAGCAAGGTCACAGATAGTCACTAAGAATTAAGTGAGTAGCTAAGAATGTTTGATGATAGGATCTCATCATCATCATCATCAGCCTGCGGCAGTCCACTGCTGGACATAGGCCTCCCCCAAAGCTCGCCACTGAACCCGATCTTCGGTTCTATGCATCCAGTTACTGCCAGCTGCCTTGCGCAGGTCGTCGCTCCATCTAGCAGGAGGGCGTCCTACACTACGTTTGCCGGTTCGCGGTCTCCACTCCAGAACACGTCTACCCCAACGGTTATCGGTTCTGCGACTTATGTGACCAGCCCACTGCCACTTCAGCTTACTAACTCTGCGAGCTATATCGATTACTTTGGTTTTTGCCCGAATGACCTCATTGCGTATTCGGTCTCGCAATGACAAACCGAGCATAGCTCGCTCCATAGCTCGCTGAGTAAC